AAGAGTGGCCGAAACCCTAGTTTTTCCGCTGTGCTTGGTTGACTGTTTTTTCTGCAAATCTTCTCCAGAAAACAGTGGTGCCGTGTGTGTGTGTAATCTTGCTGCGTGTGCAGCAGTGTGGGTGGTGCAGTTTTTCTGCAATCTTGCTGCGTGTGCAGCAGTGTGGGTGGTGCAATTTTTTGCAAATCTTCTGCAGCAAACAGTGTTGCTGTGTGTGTGTAGTCTTGCTACGTGTGCAGCAGTGTAGGTGTGTTGTGTTTTCTGCAATGTTGTCGTGTATGTGTGGTAGTGCTGTGTGTGTGGCAGTGTGGTGAATCATCAGTATCAGTCTTGCTTTGTTTTTTTTTTGGGTAAAGTCAAATGGCATCAGAAGAAGGCAGTGGCATGTTGAAGTTAGAGGGCAGTAACTCAACCAATAATCCAGTATTGAATCCGGTCGTTATTCAGAGTGATGCGTCTGCTGTACCAAATACCGTGAAATTAAATGGATCAAATTATCCTCTTTGGTCTAAAGTTTTGGAGATGCACATCGCTGGACGCGGTAGGAAGGGCTTTGTGACTGGGAGTACCAAGGAGTCTGCTGAGAATAGTGTTGAGTATGAGACGTGGGAGATAGGGAATGCAATAGTAAAAGGGTGGTTGATCAATTCCATGGAACATACTATCATGGGATTTTTTATTCACCTGCGTACCGCTAAAGAAATTTGGGAAGAAGTGGCTTGGACCTATTATGATGGCTCAAATATTTCTCAGATTTATGAATTGAAGGTTAAATCGTTCAGACTTCGTCAAGAGGGTCAGCCAGTTGGCGTGTATTATGCTGATCTCAAGTCCGTTTGGCAGGAGTTAAATCAATGGAGACCAATCAAGATGGAATGTGCTGTGGATCTCAAGACACTTCGAGAAGAACGTCAGCTTGATCGTGTGTATGCTTTTTTGGCGGGTTTGGATGCTGTGTTTTATAAAGTGCGTAGTGATATTTTACGTACTCAGCCCCTACCATCTGTTGAGGAGGTGTTTTCTGTTGTTCGGCGTGAAACTCAACGACATGCTACTATGATGGGTGGAAATAACAATCACGGAGGGTTGCCGTCCATGGCCATGGTCTCTCGGCCAGTTGGTGCTTCTCGTCCTAGTAATTCTTCTACTCAATCTTTAAATTCTCGTCCCTTCAACCGAGAAAATAAAGATGATTTGAAGTGTACTTTCTGTGGACAAACTCGTCATACCTAAGATACATGCTTTACTAAGCATGGGGTGCCTGATTGGTTTCCAGAGTTAAAGAAAAAATTGCGTGCCAAGGAGCGTGGAGCAGCCGGGTCCAGTGGAGGCCGTGCCTCCCTTGCTACGGCTACACCAACAGTCCAGGAAGCCGTGCCTAGCCCAAGTGACTCTAGTCAAAATTTGTTGACTCGTACTCGAGGTGACTCGTCTTCTGACACAGGTACCGTGGGACGTGTTCTCTTAGCCTTCGAAATTCAGCACCATACAGGTTGGATTCTGGACTCTGGGGCAACTGATCATGTGACATATGATAAAAATATGTTTCAATACATGACTACATCTCACAAAAAAAATATATCAACTGCCAATGGTACTTTGGCACCCGTGTGTGGTGCCGGCACTGTGCATCTCACCCCGTCACTTCCCTTACATCATTGCTTGCTTGTTCCTTCTTTATCCCATCACTTGTTGTCCATACCACAGGTTACTGAACAATTGGATTGTGTTGTTCTAATGTATCCGTCCTTTTGTCTACTTCAGGATATTCAGACCAAGGAGATAATTGGACGTGGCACTAAGAGAGAGGGGTTGTACTATGTGGACGACGTTGTTTCTGGCAGAGCTAATGCAGTTCGAGTGTCCCGATCTAGTAATTTACAAGAAGTGTGGTTGTTGCATTGTCGGTTAGGGCATGCATCTTTTGGGTATTTACGGCATATGTTACCTAGTCTATTTAGTGGAATAAATGAATTAGACTTACATTAATGAATCAGACTTACATTGTGAAGTATGTATTCTTGCTAAAAGCCATCGTGCTTCGTTTCCTCCTAGTATGAATAAAAGAGCTTTACCATTTGAACTTGTGCACTCGGATGTTTGGGGACCCTCCCCTGTTGTTACTTCTTCTAGGATTAAGTGGTTTGTTACGTTTGTGGATGATTGCACTCGTATGACGTGGCTGTATGTGTTAAAAAATAAAAGTGATGTTGGTATGGTATTTCGATTTTTTTCTCAGATGATTCGGACACAATACTTGTCTGTGATTAAAGTTCTCCATTCTGATAATGGGGGTGAGTATATTAATTGTGAGTTGTCAGAGTTTCTGTGTGATCAAGGCATTCTCCATGAAACAACCTGTCCTTATACTCTACAGCAAAATGGGGTGGCTGAACGAAAAAATCGCCATATCTTAGAAACGGCACGTGCTCTCTTTCTGGGCGCATCGATTCCTAAGAGTTTTTGGCCTGAAGCAGTTACTTATGCCGTCAACGTGATTAATCGTATGCCATCTCGGGTGGTTGATTTTCGCACTCCTCTTTAAGCCCTCACTCACCATGTTCCAGTGGTGTCTACTCATACTCTCACCCCCCCCCCCGGGTATTTGGGTGTGTGGCTTATGTGCATATTCAGAAAATTCATCGCACTAAGTTGGATCCATGTGCCCTCCGATGTGTGTTTGTTGGTTTCTCATCTCACCAAAAAGGATATAAATGTTATCACCCTGAGACTCGGCATATGTATGTTACCATGGATGTGACCTTTTCTGAATCGGAGTATTTTTATGCTCCCGTATCTTCATCTTCAGATCACTAGGGGGAGAGTTGTAGTGGTGATCTGGAATGGTTGGACTTGGGAGGGAACACTGTAGCTGATGCCGTGCATAATGAGGCAGTGATCATAGATGCCGTGCGTGATAATGGGGCTGGAATGCCATGGCAGATTGTTGCCGAAAGTGGCATGCAGTCAGGAGTGATTGCAGCCGAGAGTGATCTGCAGTCAGGGCAGATTGTTGACAAGTCTGCGGACGTAACCCCCTCTCTCTCTAGCTCCACAGTGCTGCCCAATGAATCTTCTCTGGATATACCTGAGGTAAGTATTGTGGATGATTATGTAACTAACGCGAGTAATGATGTAAATGCATATAAGCTGCCACCGAGACAAAATCGGGGTGTGCCACCTAACAGATTTTCTCCGGAAGGCAAAGTGAAGTATCCAATAGCCAACTATGTCTCCTGCAATGGTCTTGCACCAGAACGCAAGACCTTGGTGGACAATATGGAGGCTATTCGAGTACCAACCCGTGTGGAGGAGGCTCTAAAGGATCCAAAGTGGGCAAAAGCAATGGATGAAGAATGTTGGCATTACAGAAGAATAATACCTGGGAGGTGATGTCCTTACCAGAAGGGAAAAAAACAGTTGGATGTCGGTGGGTGTTTACTGTCAAATACAAAGCCGATGGATCATTAGACAGGTACAAAGCAAGGTTGGTAGCTAAGGGATACACCCAAACATATGGTGTAGATTATCAAGAAATGCTCTCTCCAGTTGCCAAGATGAATACGGTACGCGTTCTGATATATTTAGCTGCTAATATGGACTGGCCATTAAAACAGTTTGATGTGAAAAATCCTTTCCTCCATGGGAACTTGGAGGAAGAAGTATATATGGATTTTCCTCCTGGATACAGTGCTGGCAGAAATACCGGAGTATGTCGGTTGCGTAAGTCTCTTTATGGGCTTATGCAATCGCCTCGTGCATGGTTTGATAGGTTTACTCGAGTTATGAAAAAGATTGGGTATTATCAGAGTCATTCTGATCATACATTGTTTGTTAAATAGAGGCATGAAAAAGTGACAGCTTTAATCATTTATGTAGATGACATGACTATTACTGGAGATGATTTTGATGAGATTTCAAGGTTGGAGAAAAATCTTGCGGCTGAGTTTGAAATGAAGAACCTAGGGGATTTGAAGTATTTTCTTGGAGTCGAAGTTGCTCGATCTTCGAAAGGTATTTTCTTGTCACAACGTAAGTATGTTTTGGATTTGTTAAAAGAAACTGGTATGCTGGGATGTAAGCCAGTAGATACTCCTATTGTTGAAAAACACCATCTATGTTTAGATCCGAATCAGAAATCTGTTGATAAGGGAAGATATCAGAGACTTGTAGGGAGACTAATTTATTTGGCTCATATACATCCTGATATTGCTTATGCAGTGAGTGTAGTAAGTCAATTTATGCATTCACCGAGTGTAAATCATATGGCTGCTGTTATGCGCATCTTAGCATATTTGAAGTCTGCACCTGGGAAAGGAGTTTTATATTGGAAGCATGGACATTTGAGGTTTGAAGGGTTCACAGATGCTGATTGGGCAGGAAGTGTGGGTGACCGACGATCTACTTCGGGATATTTTACTTTTGTAGGAGGAAATTTGGTTACATGGAGAAGTAAAAAACAGAAGGTAGTATCAAGATCCTCAGCTGAGGCTAAGTATCGAGGGATGGCTCACGACATTTGTGAGATTCTCTGGCTTCGAAAACTCCTTGAGGGGCTTAGGTTCAAGCCAAAGGAGACCATGAGACTATACTGTGATAATAAGTTAGCGAGAGATATAGCTGATAATCCGGTACAGCATGATAGGACAAAACATGTGGAAGTTGATCGACATTTTATTAAAGAGAAACTTGAAAGGAAGATTGTGTCAATACCTTTTGTGAATTCGGAGCAGCAACTTGCAGATGTTCTAACTCATGCAGTATGTAGTCGAAAGTTTGATGACTCACTTGTCAAGTTGGGCATGTGTGATATCTATGCACCAACTTGAGGGGGAGTGTTAGTCATGAGTCAATATTAGGAAAAAAAAGGGAATGTAAATAGTAGGAGTCCTTTATTAAGTAGGTTGTTTATAAGCTTTATTTAGTTTCCTAGTTGAAAACTGATTGTATATATATATATTTCTAAAGAAGCAATATAATTAAAAATTCCCGTAAAAGTTCTATTTAATATCATAAAGAAGTCTGACAGATTCAAGACGAGCAACAGGAGCGAAGGTTTCATCAAAATTAACACCTTCAAGTTGAGAGTATCCTTGAGCAACAAGCTTGACCTTATTTCTAATTACATTTCCTGACTCATCAGACTTGTTCTTGTAAATCCATTTTGTGCCAATAACATTAGTGTTTGATGGATGATCAACAAGGGACCAAACTGCATTCCTCTCAAACTGATTTAGCTCTTCCTGCATAGCCAAGATCCATTCTTCATCAGTTAAAGCATATTTAATATTCTTGGGCTTAATCTGGGAGACATAGCAAACATTTGCAACTTTATTAGCTATTGTCTTCGAGTTCTAACGCCTTTGTCAATTAGACCCACAATTTCTTCATCACGATGACCTCTAGCCTACTTCGTTTGTCTTTGAATAAGACACCAAAAACTTGATCAGCGCTTGATTCATTCTAATTGTTACTTTATGACACCATACTTGACTTAAGTGGCCTTGAGACGAAGTATGTCGTTGGGACATTGACATTCTTTGTATTTTCAACACTATGAAGAGCACCATCACTCATTTCTTGGCATCATCCTTTTCCATATCTACCTCCATTTCATAAGTGATAAGCTTACCCTCCAGTTTTCCAAGTTTGATCTCATTTAAATCTTGAAATTCTTGAATAGCAGCCTTCTTAGCCATGAATCTCTTAGGCAAGGATCTTAAGAACTTCTGAACAACGGTAGTTTCATCAGTAGGTTAGCCCAACCCTAAAGCATCATTAGTTAACATTTCAAAATTTTAATAGAAAGTCGAGAAGGTCTCAAAATCTTTCATCCTCAAGTCCTCAAACTTTGAAAGAGTCATTTGAAGTTTGAGATCCCTCACTTGTTTATCTCATTCATGAAGAATTTTGAGCTTGTCCCAAGCTTGCTTAGCCGTTGTGCAATATCGAATATATGCGAATCAAGTTGGAGAAATGGCGGTGACAATGGCATTTCTTGTTTTTCTGTTTGCCATGGCAGAAGAAATTTCACTAGGAGACCATTCTCCTTTAGATTTAACTACATATTCACCATTTACATTTCTTGACGGTGTTTTCCATTCCAAGATAAGATAGTCAACATCAATTAAGTCCTGAGCTACCAGAAAGATTTGAAACTTTTCACTCCATGCAACATAATTAGATCCATCAAACAACGGAGGAATATTACAAGATGCACCAACATGATCTCGATCCATGGTGAGATTCCACCCAATACCAGTAAATTCCAGAGATCACTTTATGTATATCTAAAGCAAGGCTCTAATACCAATTGAAATTGGTACCAGGCAAAATATCCTGTTTATAAAAATGATAATCTGCTAGACTGACTAGTCAAGCCTACTAGTCAACTAAGATAGAATTGTTAGCCGATAACTCAAAGATTTAATAGCCAATTTCAAATACCAAAAGCTATCCTAGTTAGCAAGACCTCAGTTCGTTCCAAGTTATTAATATGTCAAGTGAGTAAGGTTGTGAGCACGTACTAATTAAATACTCAAGTAATACATATAGCATGTAGTTATGTGAGATATGTGGAACACTATAAATAACTTTAAACACACGATGTTTTTGGCCGGAAAAATCCACCTATGGGTTAAAAAAAATGATGACTCTCCATTGTGTCCAATCCACTAGTATAATCAAGGTTCGTACAAAGTACCACTCAAAGCTCAATTCCTAGACCTAGTTTTCAAAGCAGCTTTACCTTTGTGCAACCTTGCCTCACATAAGATAGATTTTTTTGGTCTTCACGAAGTGGCAGCTCCTCCTGAGCTCTTTACCTTGTGGCACTGAGACCAGCACACGAACTATGCATATGATGATATAGCAATGATATGCAGATCAGGATTCAAATGTCTAGTTAGTTTCTTCAGTCAAACGGTTGAAGGAAGAAACTGACAAAAATCCTAAAATGGGCTAGTTTTAAAGATTTGAAACTAGAGACACTTGACCACAAGTTAAATGCAAAACCAAAGACAATGCAACCCTATTCTTCAATGATTGGGTGTTTAATGCATGAAGGAAGGTTATGTAACTACAGTTTCATAAATGAAGAGGAGGAAAAATGAATGCTTTATCTCTCTCTAAACAATATAATATGAAAACCCCCAAGGGATAAAAGAAACCCTAGCCATGGATATAAGCAAAAAGGATGTTTCATTTCAGCTAGCAAGGACAAAAGACAAGCGCCACCCTACAAAACAATCCAGGCAGATCCACGGTTAAAAGCTGGTACCAACAGAAAGATGTCAGTCAACTAGTGTAGACAAATCTTAATTTGCATGCCCAGCTTGCTGGAAATTTGCACGCAAGCCTGACTAGATAACTATGCTAGTCCGAATGAAGTAGGAATGTAGGCATGAAATGCACATGCATGAACAAACCTTTTGAAGTGAGATGCGTCCCATCCTTGTACATTTGTCCATAGTAGGCATAGCCCATAAACAGAGAACAACTTAAAGCTAGATTAAGCTGGTACCTTCATAATGTTAACAAGGAAAGCCAAACCTAAAAGTATAGACTTCACAATATCGTTTGGTGCACTTCTGCCGAAGCAGAGCATGCATGTCGGTGTATCCCTGCCGAAGTAATGCACCACCATTCAATAGACTCCAGCCAAACGAGGTCCATCCCATTCGGTACCTCTTAGCCGAATTGTTGAGGTACCTTTCTTTCACATGTGTGGTAGTAATTAGATCTGAGAATTTTGGTAAACTTCTGTTCTCTACACTACTGCTTCTAGAGCAAGTTAGAAACAAGGAAGGACGAGAAAAGTATTCTCTAGTCAAACTTCGATCGGATTTATAAATTTCAGAATCGTACTCATTCATGGATGTAATCATGGTGTGCTTCAAGCAATATCATTCATGATTAGACAGTCCGTAGGAGTGAGCCAAAAAGCCATGGAATCCTCGTTTAGGAAGTACTTCTATTTGTAATGCTTCGGGCATAAGGCTTTGAATAAAGATTATAATGGAGTCTTATGCAGCTCTTCCATGCCATTGTTGGCTTTAATGGTTTCTCAGCTTCTTGATAGTCAAGTAGAGATTCGCGCGTTGTACCCACATGCAGTGGTTTCTGTTTGAAACGTCCAAATCAGTGAAATCAAACTTGTGACGATTCGACAATCCACTGAATGGAGGGAATAAGATTGTGATTGGTGTTATGGAAATAAGATATCCATAAGCATCAAAGTTAGAACATTTCAAGTTCTAAGACATGGTGTACATGAAAAACATCGGGTTTTCAAGGGTGTATTGTTTTATGAAAACTTTGGGTTTCAAAGGCACTAAATTTGAAACTACAAGTTTAGTTTATTTTATAAATGTTAGTTAATAAAAGAGAGTTTCCAGCAAAAACACAGAATACAAGGTATTGATTTAAGTGCAGAAGATTTGAGTTGCTTCGGGAACTCAAGTGTAAGTGCTTCAAAACTACGAAATGATGTCAACAGTTCAATGAAGAAAAAGAAATTATTGAATCAATAATGACCAAAAGTGGGCTGCAGGCCAATAAAATTAGATTTCTTGTCAGATTAACGTATTGTTGATCACTTTTAATTAATTCAATAGATCAAGACCATACGAGGTCGATCGTCAAATTAAAATAATGACAGATGGGTTATATTAGCTTTGATTGGCAATGGACCAAGGGACAAGTGTATTATAGCGTAATTAGCGTTAATCAAGATGTCCCAAAAATTATATGGGTATCGTTATGAAGCAGGGATGCCAAAATATATCATTGTGTCAAAAAAGGAATGCAGCCTATCACGTGTGGGCTAGCTGCAACACATGGCCCTGCAACAAATAAAACAAAATTTGCGGGCCATTAGGCTTGAGGACACGGCTACAAGGTAGCCCAGTCCACTACATGGCAAGTTGCAGACTTGCTAGAGATTTGGGCCGAAGGGATGGCAAGAGCCCAACATTCGTCGGCTTAAGGTTAGTGTGTGAAAAGCCCAGCTTCACTGAAAGCTCAGCAATGTTGGCTTGATGGGCCGATGGTGCTTGACAAGCCCAACAGTGATGGCTTTGTGGGCGAGTGCTGGATCGATAAAAAAGACGCCCAACAAGGCTAATAAGCGGCTTAGAGGGGCTGCAGCCCAGCAAATTTCAAACCCAAGCTGAGAGCCGGGTTTACGCATGCAGCAAATTCCAAAAAAAAAAAATACCTGATGCCTCACGGGGACGTTGGAACGCTTCGAGTGACGGGCTGTCAAAGAGCAAAGAATCAAGTCACTCGAGGCTCTGCCCTGATGTCATTCCAGCTCCCAAGCCTCAAACTGCATACTCAACTTGGTGTCAAGTAGGCGTGGCAGCGCGGCTGCGGGCCGCTTCTCAGCCGTAAATTTCCCATCAATTTTAAATCTTTATCAAAATTCCTAGGGTTTGAAAAACTCTAATTGCTTCTAATTTCTTTCAATTCTTTGATTCATAAATTCCACATTACAAAATTGCGTAATGCATGAAATGTGTGTGTGTGTGTGTGTGTGTGTGTGTACTGACAAATATATGAACATGTACAATTTATCTCAGAAGGTAAATGTAAATGTATGAGGTTCATGCATCATGGGGAATGTTTTTTTGCTTTATGGTCGTTTCAAATATCTTCCTTTATTTTAAGCATACTTGATTGGCAGAAAATAATAAAAGCCTTTGAATTTGTAGAAGATCCTTCTCGAAAAGCCGAAATTGCATCTCTAATGCGTTGTATCATGTTCAACACAGAAAAAATAAATTGAATCAATAGCATGTAGATTAATTCAATAAAAAAATTAATTAATCATAAAAAAATGATTAAAACATAATACTTCCCTAGACGATGAACAAACTAAAATAGCACAGCGTTAAAAGCGTACTGATAACGTGTTGTAAGCATAATTTATTGAACAATTATAGAGGACATAGATGAAGGAAAAATTTGTCCTAGCTAAGAACATGTGAGAACATTGGAACACATAAGCAAACTATTAACACTTTAAAGTAGGCATGCATTCAAAACAATTCTAAAACTCATGACCTTCAAAGCCTAGTGAATGGTGAACCAAAAGACTCTTTAACAAATTAAAGAGGAGAGAGTTTGAGTTTCATTACCCTTGATGTTCATCCTTGTTTACACAAGGGATTCACCCAAATGGAGGGCCTTCAAGTCACCTCATTTGCTCCTTAGATGGTTGCTTCTTTGTTTCTCCTTTGCTCCTCGAGGATTTGAGGAGAGGAACTCTAAGAACCCCAAACTTTTGGAGTCTCTATGTCTCCACACCAAGGATGACTTAGAGGAAGGAAGATTGCTAACTATTTTTCTCTAAGTGTGACTAGCCTCTTTGGAAGACAAAGAGAGAAAGAGTTTTGCTCTTTTGTCTCAAAGAAAAAAAAACCCCTAATGTGGTAAAGCTATAAAGTTCCTTTTATAGCACCTCACATTGTAGTGGCAAACTTGCAATTATGTCAAGTTCACTACCACTCACCCTATGGCTGGCCATCCTTTAGTTATTGGGCTCATTGCCCATTTTGTTTTAGTTGTCATACAACTTAAACATAATGGGCTTTGTGGACCAAAACCCCTTTGGGCCCCGAGACCCGAAACTAACTTGAAAGCCCAATACGAACCTTTCGTATAATTAATTAACAAATTAATTAATCTTGACCGTTCT